AATAGAGGAAGTCATTAATAAATTAAAAGTAGGAAAAGCTCCAGGCTTGGATGGTCTAGGGATAGAATATTATAAAAGCTTTAGAGAAGTTTTAACCCCAAAATTATTGGAATTGTATAATGGAATAATGAAGGGAGATAAAATACCCGATTCATGGAGGAGATCATTAATAATATTAATACCCAAACCTGACAAAGACTTAACAGACCCAGGGTCATACAGGCCCATATCATTAATAAACCAGGACGCAAAGATATTGTCCGCGATATTAGCTAATAGAATGAATAAATGTATGTATAAGTATATAAAAGAAGATCAGTGTGGGTTTATAAAAGGAAGACAAATGTCAAATTTGATAGGGAGAGTACTAAATAAAATTCATTGGGCTAAAGAGGGGAAGGGAAAAGCAGGGATACTATCATTAGATATTTTTAAAGCGTTCGATTGTGTGGAATGGGAGACACTAGGGGAAATATTGAACAAATTTGGAATGGGAAATAAAATAAAAGGAGTACTAAAACAATTTTATTCAAAGAACTCAGCAGTGATAACTATAAATGATGGAGTGACAAACGAAATAAAAGTGACTAGAGGAACTAGACAAGGGTGCCCTTTGTCCCCGATATTATTTGCTATGGTGATAGAACTTTTTGCTAATAATATAAGGAACGATAAAAATTTAGAAGGATTAGGAAAAAAGGAGAAACAGAAGGTGAGCTTATTCGCTGACGATACATTGTTATTTATAGAAAATATAGTGGAGAAAATAGATAGAATAAAAGAACATTTGGAGACATTTGGGAAAGCAACAGGTTTACAAGTTAATTGGAACAAGTCAGAAATGATGCTACTCAACTATACAAGAGAAGAAGAAAAAAAATTATAGAACAGAGAAAAATGGGAATAAGAATTAAGAATAAATTAAAATACTTGGGAGTAATAATAACTAAGGATTTAAAAGAGATAGAGGAAGTAAATGTAGTAACTTTAAGAAAAGAAGTTCAGAAAAAGTTAATAGAGTACGAAGGTATACAATTATCCTGGTTTGGAAGAATAGCATTAGTAAAAATGAAAATACTTCCAAAAATAAATTTTATATTTAGAATGCTACCACTTCAAATCACAGAAGAAGAACTAACTAGATGGCAACAAATGATTAATAAGTATTGCAATGGAAGTAAAAGAAACAGGTTAAACAAACAGCTATGGTATAGATCGCAAAAGGAGGGTGGACTAGCACTACCTAATATAAAAAAAATATGATGCAAGTAGACTAAATTTGGTTATAGAAGGAATGGTTAAAAAAAAGGGAATAGATTGGCTTAGTAATGATTCAGGAAAAGTGGAAGATGAAACTTGGAATATATTTTTTAAACAGCTTACTAGAAAAGAACTGAGGGAAATTAGAAACCCAATGTTGAGTAACATATTGAAAGTATGGAATAAATACAAGGGGAGGTTAATAAAGGAAGGATCAATTATAACCCCAATAGTGATGGAAAAGAAATTCCCAAAAAATTTAAAAAAAGCAATGGATAAAAAGGTAAGGGAAATAAATTTAGATAGAATAGGGGATTGGATGAAAGTGGAAATGAAGAGGGAAAGGATGTTGGAAGAGTTTAAAGAAATAAAATTATCATGGTTTCATTGTATACAATTAGAACAATGGTTAATAAATTGGAAAAAAAAAATAGAAATGGAAGCCAACTCAATCAATTCGAACAAATAATACAGAAGGGAAGGGCAGTAGAAGAACATGAAAACTTGAGAGGTATAATTAGCAAAATCTATAAGATATTAATTGAAATGAAGGATGGAAAAATAAAAAAGTGTACCCTTAAGGAGATTTGGGAAGAGGATTTAGGGATAAAAATAAGTGAAATAGAGTGGCAACAGTTATGGGGACAAAGACATTTAAAAAATTTATCGATACGAGTTAAAGAAAATTATTATAAGTTAATATGGAAGTGGTACTTAACACCGGTAAGACTAGCATATATGAATAAAAATAACTCAATAAATTGTTGGAGAGGGTGTCAAGAACCAGGAACATATATACATATGTGGTGGCAATGTAAATATGTAAATAATTTTTGGGAGAAAGTATTTAGAGAAATAGAAATTATAATGAATATGAAAATAGACAAAAGTCCTAGTATAGCCTTACTATCATTATATACAATAAGCAATTGAAAAAGGAGGATAAAGAAGCGATAACAAACTTACTAACTATAGCAAGACTGCTCATAGCAAGGAATTGGAAAAAAGAAATGAATATACAAATAGAGGAGTGGTATAAGGAAGCATGGAAAATAGCTTTAAATTACAAACTGACATGTATATTAAAGGTTAAAAAAGGTATATGGAAACAAAGTGATTTTGATGCTATATGGGGAAAATTTGTGGTAAATGGATTAAAAAATAAGGAAGGAAAATTACCGTCACAAGAAGAAATGAAATTTTGGACAGATGAAATGTAAGAAATGTGGCTTGAGACGGGTGGAGGGGAGCACTGAGGTGAAAAAAAAGGAAGGAAAAAAAAGAGAAAAGGGGAGGAAATGTCAAAGCAAAACAACAAAATAACATGTTAAAGAGGTTGATGTATAAAATGCAATAGTATGTAACAATTGTGATAAACCAATAAAAATTTAATAAAAAAAAAAAAAGGAAGAGGTGCAGCATTGTATCTGTTCAACCCAAAATGTATCTGCTACCAATGATAGCACAGCTTCAGTGGAATGTTCATGTCATAAAGCCCCACAACTCAGTTATCCTCAATTACTAATTGTACGTTTTTCACCATGTAATAAAAATAGTGTATTTTAATAGTTGTTTGATCTATTTCTTAATCTCCCTTCAAAAAAGTTTTCATCATAAAACAACACATGTACCAATACAATTATATTAAATATAAAAAGCATTATAGAGATGCAGTATTCGTTACGTACAAGGTAACAATTTCCAATTATTAGTTGTAAGCATTAACAATAATCTCCTAATTAAAATGTGGACTAATTTAAATTAAAAATATACATTAGAAAATTTTGACAAATACATGCTTTTTTCAAGTTTTCTATTTTTACTAGAGCTTCTTCAGCCTACAGTATTCCACAGAACTGTGACACTATTTAAGATGCTCTCATTCCTATTCATTTGGTCTGATTGCATCCATGAACCAATTTACTGATTTGCTTACAGAGAGAAAAGATTAGAGGGCATATCATATGTCCACCTCTTTTAGTTTCAAAGTCTCCCTTTGAGCCTCAAATATCTCTTCCATTTTTCGTTTGAGAGTGTCTTTGATTTTCCCTGTTGTTCTCTACAGCTATTATCAGCATTCAGTCCTAAAGTATTCAAAAACTCTTTCCTGATTTGTAGTGTAGTTTTGATGGAAGGTAATATATGATCCTAGCATGACTATGTTGACTAGGACACCTCAAATTTAAACCCATTCCTTTCTTTAAAAAAGCAACCTACTTTATTTTATTCACAATCTTCTTGGATTCTAGACTTTCTTCTTAGTCTTTAAATTGCTCCTTCTGGAGTTCATGTTGTTTACAAGTTGTTTACTATGTTGGACATGCCTTTAATGAATCTTTATTCACCTGTTTTTAATAGCTCTTTGATTTCTAATTGAATCACCCCTGTTTCTAATTGATGCCATGGCAGGGAGATTTAAGGAGGGGTTTTTTGGGGGGAACTAATGACAAAAATGTAGACCATTCATTTTTTAAAAAAAGATTGAATGGTGGTGTGTGCATTGTACAAAGGAGCTACCAGGTCAACCAGAAAAAAAATTGAGGATGCATTAGCTTCTCAACACTTTCTCTTTTTCTATCTTGTTTCTTTCCTATATGTGTATCTTGTTAGCTTGTTCTTATATGCGCATGCCATGTGCATGTGGTCACCATGATTTCCATCATCCTGGTCCAATCTGTCAGGAGCTGCTATGGACTATGTGTTTCCTCTGGTATCAGAGTTTTGGCATTAAGTTGATAAGCAATAAGAAGAGCCTAGCTTTGGAAGAGGCTGACATGAATGGCTGCTACTTCAAAGTGCTTGAGCTGGTGCTAGGTATCCTGCAAGGCAACAAAGTCAACCAAGTGAAAATCTTGCAGTACATCGTAGAGTACATTTTCAATCTCCAGGTTGTGTTGGAAGAGCAGGTGAATAAGGGACAAGATCTGTCAGTCGAGGATTCTCTGCTCTCTTTAAAACCAGCACAACTTGCACGAAAACTCAGCTCTGGGGATGAGACGGCTCACTTCCATTAACCTCTTAGCACACTGCAGGCGTGGGAGTTTGATATTTGGTTCTTGGGGGAGAGGGAGATAGAAAGAAGGAAAAATACCTTGACCGGAGGAAGGATCAGATATTTCATCCTCATACATCTAGTCGTGGAAGGAATCTTTGAACTTACCTTCCACATAAATTGCTTGTGAAATATGGTCAGTCAAGACAAATCAGATGCCTTGGGACAAAGCCTTCCAATATCAGCTTGCCACCCCTGATGTGTTTTATCGGCTATCCACATAAAAACAAAAATCCATCCCCCATTCCACCTCCAAATAAACTATATGGTTGGTACATTACAGAGAAAGAAATTTGGCATTTAAAAAGTGGATGGATAGAAGAGGAATGAACAGCCTTAGTACCATCATATTTGTACTTCACCTGAAGAATTGCATGTCTTACTTTGCCCTCTCATGTGATTCCAACTATGGGAAGGGAGAGCAGGACTATACTTCTTTAGCCTGGTCTTCTTGTTCATATCCCCTTGGCCCTGAGGGGTTTTCAAGGCTGAGAATCTTTCTACTCTGCTACACAGCTGAATTGTAAGAGCTTTGCCCACAAAAATGACAAAAAGGGTAAAAATAGAATAATGGGGAACAATGATTGTAGATATTGTACAGAAGTGTATGTATACATATATGAGTAGATTTTGGGAGGGAGGGAGGAAAGCAATCATACCATGCTCAAACGTATCTCCCCCTATGAACCAGCTCAGATGTTAAGATCTGGGGAGGCCCTGCTCTCGGTCTCATCCCCTTAGCAGGTGCAGCTGGTGGGGAAGAGTGACAGGGTCTTCTCAGTGATGGCTCCTTAGTTACTGAACTCCCTCCCCAGCAACATTAGATCGGCTTCCTCTCTCCTGGTTTTCAGAAAGTTAAAACTTGGCTGTGGAATCAAGCATTTGGGGAGTAGTACAATCACAATGCAATATGCAACCACGGAGCTAATATACACAAATCGGCTTGGACTTTAATTGTGAGATTAGGTGCAATGCTTTTAACAGTTTATTTAAATGTATTTATATGGTTTATTTTATGATTTTAATGCTTAATGTGTTGTGTATTTTATATGCCTTTATGTTGCAATGTGGCATTGAATTATTGCCAAACTGGAAGCTGCTCTGAGTCCCCTTCGGTGTGGAAATAAAGTGGGGGTAAAATGCAATCAATAAATGCCAATGATTTGTATTTGATCTTGATTAAAAATGCAATTTCTGCAAGATTGTAAAAATTAAAAGTCTTAGCTTAAAACAAGCTATAATAAAACCGCTGTTGAAGAAACCATCACTGGACCCCACTAAATTCGACAACTATCGGCCAGTTTCCAATCTCCCCTTCTTGGGCAAAGTCTTGGAACGTGTGGTGGCCTCACAACTCCAGGTATTCTTGGTAGACACGGATTATCTAGACCCGGCACAGTCTGGCTTTAGGCCGGGACATGGTACCGAGACAGCCTTGGTCGCCTTAGTGGATGATCTGCGCCGGGAGCTCGACAGGGGGAGTGTGTCCCTGTTGGTGCTGCTGGACCTCTCAGCGGCCTTCGATACCGTCGACCACGGTATCCTTCTGGGACGCCTCGTGGGGATGGGTCTTGGAGGTACTGTTTTACAGTGGCTCCGCTCATTCCTGGAGGGCCGAGAAGGTGTTATTGGGGGACACCTGTTCAACCCCACAACCTTTGTCTTGTGGGGTTCCTCAGGGCTCAATACTGTCTCCCATGTTGTTTAACATCTACATGAAGCCGCTGGGAGAGATCATCCGGAGTTTCGGGGTACGGTGTCATCTGTACGCGGATGATGTCCAACTCTGTCACTCCTTTCCACCTGCTACTAAGGAGGCTGTCCAGGTCCTGAACCGGTGCTTGGCCGCTGTGACGGTCTGGATGAGGGCGAACAAATTGAAATTGAATCCAAACAAGACAGAGGTACTCCTGGTCAGTCGCAAGGCCGAACAGGGCATAGGGTTACAGCCTGTGCTGGATGGGGTCGCACTCCCCCTGAAGGCGCAGGTTCGCAGCTTGGGTGTGACCCTGGACTCATCGCTGAGCCTGGAACCCCAGGGTTTGGCGGTGACCAGGGGAGCATTTGCACAGCTAAAGCTTGTGCGCCAGCTGCGCCCGTACCTTGGGAAGTCTGACTTGGTCACGGTAGTCCACGCTCTGGTTACATCCCGTTTAGACTACTGCAACGCTCTCTACGTGGGGTTGCCTTTGAAGACAGCTCGGAAGCTCCAACTAGTCCAACGCTCGGCAGCCATGATTTTAACAGGAGCGGAGCGCAGGGAGCATACAACCCCCCTGTTGCGCCAACTCCACTGGCTACCAATCTGCTACTGGGCTGAATTCAAAGTGCTGGCGTTGGCCTTTAAAGCCCTAAACGGTTCCGGCCCAAGCTACCTATCTGACCGCATCTCTGCCTATGAACCCACCAGGACTTTGAGATCTTCCGGGGAGACCCTGCTCTCGATCCCGCCTGCTTCTCAAGCTCGGCTGGCGGGGACGAGAGATAGGGCCTTCTCGGTGGTGGCTCCTCGGCTGTGGAACGCCCTTTCTACGGACATTAGACTAGCACCATCTCTAATGGTATTCCGCAAAAAAGTGAAGACCTGGCTGTTTGAGCAGGCGTTCCAATAATTAGTGCAATGATTGGTTAATGAACACTGGAATGGAACAATGGATGACGAATCTGGAACATGTTTTTGATGACGAGGCGACAGTGAATGGGTATTGTAGTAACTGTTTATTAATTGTGTAATGTGTTAGGTTGTTAACTGTTTCTATACTGTAGCACTGAATTTTTGCTGTTCGTATTTGTTGTGAACCGCTGTGAGTCGCCTTCGGGCTGAGAACAGCGGTATATAAGTAAGGTAAATAAATAAATAAATAAATAAATAAATAAATAGGATTGGAAAATAAATAAATAAATTCTGCAAAAAAAGAATTTAAAAAAGAAATCTGATTCACAGTAAATATTGGGGAGGGGTGCATATGTTTTGCTTATAACTTCAAATCCATTCTGAGAAATAGTATGCCAAATCCCAGCAAATAAACCACAGCTGGGAATATATTAAAGACATTCAAATGTGGGGAACATTAATTTACTCTTTTTTTGGCAAGTAAATTCAGCTTCTGTTTGTGATTTTTTCTCCCTCTACAATTCATTATCACAGAATAAAAATGCAAACAGGGCCATATTCAGCCAGATAATTGAGCTATGTCAAGATTTTGGCAACCAGGATTATCCAAAGATGAAGAGCACCACAAGTACCTCTTTCTTTGCACATCTACAAAACCTGTATGTGACTAACCTCAGTATAATCCTAATAACCTCACATTCAGAAGTCCCCTCCTCAAATTAGCTCACCACAACTGATGTATAAGCTCTTCTTCATTCGCAAAGGCAGCCCAAGTCTATATGTTAAAGATGAGGAGATGATAAATAGATACACGCACAATGATGCTGAAAGAGACAATGGCTTTCAAATGGAAATCTATTTTTCAAACTGATAAATCGGTGGATACATGGTGACTGGATTCCCTTGCTTAGTTAGCAGAGTCTAAAAGGGAGATGTTAATTCCCCCTCCGCCCACTGTGAACATGGCTATGCACTGGGCTCATTCTGGAAATGGAATGATACAGCCTGCTGCTTGGAAGCAACCTGTAGAGGAATAGAGCTCCTTCGATTCTCTGAACATACCGGCTGCTGCTTATGCAAATCACAACTTCTTCATACCTATGGGTATCTTCCAGTACAATCTGTTGGTTTCAGTTCAAACAGTTTTAAGGCATAAGGTTGCCTATACCTCACTGCAATAACCATATGCTCCTATTATCAACTTAGTGGGGAGATTTCAAGGCATCTGGATCAAGCATTCTCTGTTCTTTCACTTGAGGTAGGAATTAAAACATAATTAATTCAAGCTTCTTTGAGGACCTACATTGGTTTGCACATCAGTTTGGCTCTGTTATGTGAATGCAATACAACAAAGCACCCCAAACAATGTTTGTCCTGCTTGTTATAACTTTGCTAATCCACCAAGGATTTCTTTGTCAGAGGCGTCAGAGAGAAAATCTACTGGATAAGCCAGTTAACATCACTGCTTGTGAAGGACATCAGTAATGCTTTAAGTGCCAATTAGTTATAGGCTTTTGATTATCCTCCACATCAGCCTTTCTTCGGATCATAAAAGCATATCCTCACATTGGGATATGTTACTCTAAGGGAGGTGAGACAAATGACATATTGGATAGTCTTCACTTTGGCTTTGTTCAGGGGAAATAGCCAAGCATTTTTGACAAATAAACATTCAGAAGAACATAGGAAGGGCCACAGTGGGCCACATCAAAGTTCTGTGTAGCCATTTGTCTAGACAAGGTTCTACTATTTGCTTATGGGAAACCCGCAAGAAAAACAGTTGTGGAACAGCATTCCAAGAGCTCAAGATCTTCTGGGGAGCTTAAGATGTCAGAGCTCAAGATCATTTGAGGAGGCCCTGCTCTCGGTCCCATCTCCTTTGCAGACACGACAGGTGGGAACGAGAGACACTACCTTCTCGGTGGTGGCGCTTCAGCTGTAGAATTCCCTCCCTGGGGATATTAGATCAGCCCCTTCTGACCTTCCGTAAGAAAGTGAAAAGGTGGCTTTTTGATCAAGCCTTTGATGATCTTTTGCAATAGATAAATACGAAATTATGTGCAATGACTATTGGAATGGCCCAGACTATGACTTTGGATAATGTGGTTAACAGTGAATGTATTGTTTATATATTTTATGTATTTTATAATTCTTTTTATTTTAATTGTACATTGTTTTTGGACGGCACTGAATAGCTGCCGAAGTGTAAACCACCTGGAATCCCCTCTGGGGTGGAGAAAGGCAGGGTAGAAATGTCATATATAAATAAATTCCCAGTGGCTTGTGCTCTCCAGCAAACGATACACAGAGGCAAAGTATTGCTGGTATTGGAAGGGATATCTGCTCGT